GCGGGGGGAGGGGAGGGGGCGGGGAAGTGTAGTTTGGTTAGGGTGGGGGGGGGGGGCTCTAGATTTGCTGGCCTGATGTTGAGAGGCGACACCCCATACCAGTTCCAAGGACACACGATCGTAAGTGACAGATTTACATGTCAGAACACGGGACCCCCCGATCCCTGACGAGTCAATCCCCCCCCACCCCCATGCCAGCTGTTGCGTCACCATGCCGTCAGAGCACGCCGATTGGACCCAAGCCCCCAGTCTCTAGTGCCTGCTGGATCCTTTTTATAGAAAGAGAGACTCGTTAATAGAAAACGGGCCCTGGAGAGACATGACTCATTAAACGCGGAGGCCTCTTTTGGACCCCTCCCTCGATTGCGGAGCATGGCGTGGCCCTCCAGGTCAGCTGCTACCGGCCCCCTTTCCACATTTGGTAGGATGGAGCCCAGCCCACTCTGCCCCCCCCCACCACCACCGCAGCTCGGTGGTACCGACTTCCTCATACATTACCGCCCCCTTAATGAGGTCTGCTAAACTGCCTTATCTTTCCATTCCGGACTCCTTAAATCTCTCACATTTATACAAAACGCAAGTGTGGCAAATCATTTACTGTGGTCTATGGTTGTGTTTATTACCTAATTCAATGAATTTATGTCGCCTGGGATTGTGGCACAGTTCAGACTGGGAAATGAATTCCAGCAAAAAAAAGAAACACCCAAATACTTATCTTCTCTACCTTATCATGGACCTGATTTGTCTAACCTGCATAAAGGAGAAGCCTTATTAAATGTATCAGCAGCAATGCAAAAATAAATAATCATAACGGTTTGAGTTATACAGTAGTAACAGCCAAGCACTCACACACAGACTGTAGTTTCTGTAATCTGCTGAACTTGGCTGTGAATGACGCAGGTGCCCATTCATGTCTATTTAGACATTTATGTCCACCTTTATGAAGGTTCAGACATTTACATTAAATTCAGTTGTGAATATACATAACTCTTTATCTGCCACACATGCATTTATCAAACCAGCACAGAGGTATTGACAGAGGTGGATAAAAGGGTCATGATGTCCACATAAAATCACAGAGAGAGGACATTTACTGAAAATTAGAATGTAAAAAATAACTGGTGAACTGGTGTTTGAACATCAAATACAATATGTTGCTTAAACTCATTAAGCTCATTAAATACAGTTAACTTGGTGCTGATTTTCCACACTCTATGTTAAAATGAAGCTGTGGACTGTTCTGCGTGTAATTTGGTGAAAACTTAAAACCCTCCTTCATTTCGCACCCTACTTGCACCTCTAGCTGTGTCCAGCGTTACTCATACCTCTAGCTGTGTCCAGCGTTACTAATCAGTGTTACTCATACCCCTAGCTGTGTCCAGTGTTACTCGTACCTCTAGCTGTGTTCAGCTTTACTCGTACTGCTAACTGTGTTCAGCTTTACTCGTACTGCTAACTGTGTCCAGCATTACTCGTACTGCTAGCTGTGTCCAGCGTTTTGGGCTGGACTGTCTGACTGATCACAATGCTGGGTCATGCCCTGGTTCTGATCTAGGTGCTGCTAAGACTGTCTCTACATGTTCAGTAATTACCTCAGCTGAATGTGCCATCTCTTTTTTTTCTTTATAACTTATGTATTACCCCGATATCAGCAGACAGAAATGATGCAGGCAAGACATGGATCTCGCAGCTGGCATAATAGTTTGGCATAGAGCTTGGTTGACGTAAATATTTCCATTTATCTTGAACTATCCAATCAGCCATTATAAAAACACACCAGTATAGCTCAAAGGCTGTTGTTAAAAGCACGCTTGGCTATGCACTTCACCCTGTACCTGTATGAACCAGCCTTAAAACGGTGCCCTTGTTCTCTAGGCTGGCCAGAGTCTGAACGGCCCGCCTATCGCCCCTCCCTTTCACGCGTTTACAATCTGAGGCACGCGGCTTCCCTTATAAAATTATTTCCCAAATTAAATGCTCCCAAAATACAAGCTGCAGAGTCCCGGAGCAACTGGGTCAAAATCGATACGACAAAAAAGGAAGATTTACGCACAGTGGTCAGTTTGAAGGCTAGCCTGAAGGGGGCGACATTGATCTCCATGCCAAAAATACCAAATTCAGAGGCGTGAAGTTGCCCATAAATGGTAGGCCTAATGTTTTTTTTTTCTCCATCCATCCATCCATCCATCCATCCATCCATCCATCCATCCATCATCTTCCGCTTGTCCAATTAAAGGCTAAAATGTACATTATGTAGAAGCTGACAGCCCTAAAGCGCTAGGCGAGTTTTATGGGTTTATCCATTAACGCAGATGAGTATTTACTGAAACAATTGGGGTTAAGTACTATGCCTCGGGCGGCACCGGCATTGCACTCCCAGTAATCCTCTTGCGGCCAAATTTAAATCCACAGGCTCTTGGTCAAAGCCCAGGTGTGGCACACAACTTTCACATTATACAAAAGCGCGATTCTTTGAAGCGTTCTGCTTTTGACTGGTAACGTTTCTCAAAAATAACCCAATAGTCTAAATTTTATGTTACTACAACTTATAACGAAGTAATATATCCTCGATTTTTAGCGCTCACGTAAACATTCAATTAAATTCAATCCTTTATTGTCATGTGTATAAGTACGACTACCGTGTACAATGAAATGCTTGCTTGCATGTGCTCCTGCAGACAGTGAACATAGACAAGACGGATAGACAACAGGATGACAAGTGAATGAATGGTAAAGTGAATTATAAATAAGTAAATAAATAAGACCAAAATCACAGGAATAAATAGAGACAAAGACAGACCTCGTGAGACCCAAGGAAAAAAAGTGTCCTCATAGGTTATTTGTCTTTGGAGGAAATACGACATCTTACAATTTAGATTTTTTCAAATTTATTTTTATTTTTAATTTCACAGCATGTCCTCTTTAGTGTACAACAGGAATAAATATGTTTCCTTACATCAGTGAAAAAATAGATGCAAAAGCAACATGTCCACTACAATGGACATAAATGAATGGGTGGGGACTCAGGAGGTTACATGTGTGGGTAGCAGTGGAGGTGACACAGGTTACTGATTGTTCATGAGTCTGATTGCAGTTGGGTAGAAACTGTTCCTAAACCTGTAGGTGCGCCTCCGAATGGACTGACTTAAGTCGCTTCCCAGATGGAACACGTAGGCTATACAAAAAGGCTTCGAGATAACAGCGTTGCAGATATTTAATCGTTTTCTTATATTTAAAAAATATGGAAAAAACCCTTAATGGTTTTTTAAGCCTTATGTTTAAATACAGATAGGCGCCCTGTCGTTTTTTGTTCAGATATGCTGAACTGTTGTGTCTTAGGTTACACACATATCCTTTGTTCATAATGTACCAGAGTAACCAGTGGAATCCCTGAACAGGTATTGTTAGTTTGCTTTTGAAGTAGTTTACAGTTATGGGTTGTTAATCATCAGTAGACTTAAAGCACGGCGAAACGTGTCCATTTACTTCCTGAAAAAACGGATTAACCACTGTTAACAAACACGAGTCTGGTTTTTATTTGCATTGTAAAAAAAAGGGTAGGTCTTATACAGGGGCGTCAAAAGCATTTTGAATGTGGGGGGGGACACACTGGCATAAAAGTAATATTTTATGTTAAATGTGGGGGGGTCCAAACGAATAATTATGAAATGTGAGGGGGACACGTCCCCCTCAGATTTAATGGCGACGACGCCCATGGTCTTATAAATAATAATGGGGGAGTGATATATTTCTACGTTAACTCCAAAGTGTGTCAGCTTGGGGTCACCGCATGCTCCGGAGTCCCAGGTCTCTAAGGCGACTGGGTGACATTGGTGCCACGGCTTTGTCCCGTTACCCCAGGCAACGCCGCGAGACGGAGGTCCCCCTTTCTGCAGCCGAACTGAGTTATTCCTGCAATTTTGCGAAAAGTCACGACACAAGGACAATCAGGAACAAAACATTTCATTAACATAGCATAGGTTAGTGAAAAAGCCCGGCTCTCTTTATTTTATCATCAATCAAAGGGATACAATCCGGAGTGAATCAGCCCCCCCCACTCTCGTCCCAAAATGAGAAAAATAGCCGCTTTTGCAGTAAGCGGAATAATGCAGCACAAAATACGACGATGAAAGAGAAAAAAGGACGATTTAAATAATACTGAGACTAATAAAAGTGCGGGTAAAGCTTTAAAACAATATAGGGAAAAGAGAGTGGTGAGTATGAAGCTTTTTTCTTTTACTTAATATTTTGCTTCTGTTTTGATTTCTTTGTTTACAGTTTCATTTTCAGTTGGTGTTGTAGGTAATTTGCAAGGCAAGGTAAGTTCAAGTAATTCGATTTCCTAAATTTTAAAAGCTGTCTAAAGTTCTCTTATATTATCGAATATACAGTAATAGTTCAGGGAAAAGTTAAGCAGTTAAGTGTTAACCCATAACGCGCTGGCATCACTATAGGGAAGTTTCCCGCCTGGAAATCACCTCATAACTGAAGGACATTTAATTTTCCCTGAGTAAAGGGGAGTGCAGTGACAAATGTATGTTTTCCTTTTCGGGTGAAGCCTTGGCTGTGCTGCCCGCTAAATTTTATCTACTAAAATTGCATTCCGTGTCACCACGTAAGGGAAATATCATCGCCAGGGCGTCATAGGTACGATTAACGTGCGCTCTCCTTTGATAAAATGCAACTGCGCGGAAATGATAAAATTCAGGGAATGGACAACGGAGCTGCATTCTTAAATGGCGTTGGCTCAGGTGCAGGTGTCTGCAGGCTATATAGTAGGACGCTCAGCTGCAGTGAGAGACGTGACTGTACCGCGGCAAATCACACAGCATCTGAATCAGGGACCAGTGGTTACTGGGAGCTGTGTTGGGGGGGGGTGGGTGAGAGGGGGGCCTCCTTAATTTCATTGGGACACTATTGACATGCAGCACAAAGGCTCTGTGCGCTACAGTAACAGGGAGCCTTCAAGGACAGCCCATTACGAGGCATCAGAAGGAAATATCCAGATGCAGAATGACAGTGACTTTGGCCCAGTCCAGAACCACATACGCGGGACCCAGCGGGGATGAAAAACTCTGCCCTTTGAAGATGTGACATGAATGCCAGGGCACATATGGAGTGTTCCTTTGCTAGATATTTATTTATTCACCAGGGAACAGGCCTTCGCAATCATAACGCACCTAATGGCAATTTTAAAGAGGGGTATTCCTGAACACAGATTTCACAGTATGACTCGGGGCCGGTTTAAATAGGGAACGCAGTTATTTAATATTTAGTGTAATGACTATTTGTTCCCATCAAGGGGCTCCCAAACCTTGGGGCCCCCACACAAATGCACTGTTTGAATGGTGATGAACACCACCACCACCCGCGAGTGTAATTCATGTCCCGGTATAATCAGTCTGTGTGTGGTAAACAGAGCAGGAACTGTAGTGATGCAGAGTTTGGCTCCATCATACCTTGAAGCTTTCAGAGCAGAAAGAGGATTGAAGAGGATTGGTTCATATTAAGGGAGTCCGAGTTCTCTGAAGACGGCCATGCGGCGTGGAGAGAAAGCAGCGTGGCAGAGTGACGCGCAGGGGCGCGAGGAGAGGAGAGTGGAGGCCCGGCTGGCGCAGGGCCAGCGCAGGCTGGACGAGGCGTGTCTGTACCACCTGAACGTGCTGACCAGGGAACAGAGGCGCCTGTGCCGTGATCTGGGTGCGCTGCACACAGGTGAGCCCGCGGACATGGGAGCGTCACCGGGTTCCGTACCTGGACATGTCGCATTGAACAAACAGAGACTGGCCTCTCATTGAACCCATGACCGTTTTAGCGGATCATCTTAACAATGCCTCCCTTTAAATCCCAGGTAATTCATGGAAGAGGAGTGTCTCCGGCTTACAGCCCCGACCTTGGGGGCGTGATCTCGACCAGCCGGTCTTGTCATACAAGAGGACTGTGTTACCCAGAATCCCATGTGCTACAAGGCTTGACAAACACTGGTGAGATTCAGACAATCCAGATCACTTTGTAGAAGGCAGCTGTTGTAGCTCAGTTATGCGTTTAAGACATGGAACTCTGTTTATTACTTAGTTCTTTTCTTTCAAACATTTCTAATTAATTAACCATTTTTGCTTAATATATACTTCCAGGTTTGTAGCTTTGAAGAGTAAATCCACACCATTTTCCATAAGCACTTATCCAGCAGAGGGCAGCAGTGAGCCTGGGGGCACAGAGAGGGGGACATTCTTCATTTCATCTTTAAAATATATTTTTAAATGCATCCATAATTTAAACGGTTTAAAAATTTACAAAAACGAAATGTTTGTTGTGTAAATAATTGTGTAAAATTAAGAAGAACATGTTATTAAAATGGCCATCAGTAATGCAGATACAGACTCTGTCATATATTTCTGCCCCTTAATCTGCACTTTCTTAGAAGAGCACAGTTCTCTGTGTTGTTTAGCAGGGCCTGAATCTCCTCTCACCCCAGCCCCTTCCCGCCTCTTCACCTTAAGCTGTTGTGTCCGTCAGCCATACCCAGGCTATGACTTTTTTCCCTTCTGGTAGCCAGTCACAGGTCTTAACGAGCACTGCGGTTTAATTCCCAAACTTTTAGCATATAAGACTGGTGAGATATCTCTTGCATATGAATGGTCTGACTGCAGTGTAGCGGTTCTCTATCAGAGTGGCATGAACACAGTCAGAAATGCGTAACTTATCTGTTAATTACAGTGCTGGGTTTTTCTGAATTATGCTTTTACCTTATCGGGGGAAACTTGAAGAGCCTATATGGAAGAATTCAACTGGTGTTGAAGAATAACGATGCGCTGTAAGGCGACCTTTTTGAACACCAATGTTATCTGTAATTTATGTAAAAAGCGTAGTTTTGTACGTGAACGATGACCCTGGCACATGTAGAGGTTATTGAGAGTTTAAACAAAATCCAGGGCAGGGAAAATAATCTGCAGCATTTTGTAGGCGCTGGCGCAGGCTGCCGTATCCCTTTCCGACCTCCCTCCATTCGTGACTTTACCCCTCCCTCTTGTGGGTAAAGTAAACATTAGCACCTGGCTCTCAGTTACTGGTGTTGGCAGCCCTGTGCCCTTTGTACCTCTCTCCCCTGTTAACTGTAAGCTCCTGGACTGTGAACCACAGAGTACGTAACCAAAACAGGGATAGCTTACGGTTTTTCTCATGGTTAACTTTGCATTTAATCTAAGTTGATAGGTAATCCAGACAGGACAATGGTAAACACCTGTTTAACTTACAGGTTTATAAACTATATTCGGTTTATAATTTGCCTGTCTTCTTCATTGTAAATATATCATAATTGCTGTTGCAGCTAAAATGAGCTTTAATTCTTAGTAAACTGGAAATGTTGCAGCATATATCTGGTCTTCCCTACAATGATGTCATAAAAGATTGTCCATAAAGTCATTGTATGATCATTCATCATGTCTCATGGATGTCTTTGGACATGGATGCTTGTGGATGTCGGCCATTCATGGATGGTGCTGTGATTTCTCCACAGGTCCCAGGAGCAAAAGCCCACGGGCACTGCTGGTATCTCCTCTGGGCTCCAGGCTCGGATTCGGGATTTCGTGGCCGGCGGAGAGCCGCAGGGGCAGTCCTCGGCGGTGCCAGTGTCCCTGCCAGACCTCAGGGGGAGGACTGGGGGTGGGCTCGACGCAAACGATCCAAGTAAGAAGAGGATGCAGAGCGAGAGGAATGTGGACACGGATGCTGGGACATGGACGGAGGGTGACGTGACTCGATCCCCCTCCACCCCACCCCTGGCTCGGCCGTTGGCCCTAGACGGACGATTAAGAACAGTGCGCACATTTCCCAGCTTTCCTCAGGCTTTGGCCGAGGCCCGGCAAGCTAGGTACCTCCGGCACCGTGGACAGCCCCTGTCGGAGAGGGAGCTCTCCGTGGGGGAGATATTTGGCAGGACCCCCTATGATTCCTCAACATACTAACCCTGAATGTATCAGCTTGTCACCTGACCTCACTTTGAGCCTGTGTGACGTCATGACGCAGTCCCTGACAACATGTGTCTGCATGTCACAGAGGCCGCTGAAAGACCGCGTTCCTGGCAGATATCGTATTTAGCGTTTTAATTCACATCTTTATTCCAGTATCTGGAAGTTACGGCGTCGCCGCCGTAATTTAGGGTGTAGGCTATCTCAGGGTGTATTATGAGACGTCCATCTTAAAATATTTAATAATTCTGACTTCAAGTTATTATTTATTCCTAATTACACATTGAATAGTTACTATACCATGACAATTTATCTGAGTAATAAGATAAAATTATATTATCACATTTTACTGTTTGTCGTAGCATTTGATCGGTATTAGACCATGAAATATAAAGCTATCGTAAGGAAATTATTATAGATTTATGTTAAGCTTAACTGAACATTACTGTAACCCTTTGTATATTGTCTTTTTTTAAGTTTTTAAAAACATGATTCTACGCCAATTTCGATACACTGTGTTAAACCTTAGTGTTTTTTGTATAAATGGAAAGGCTGTTTGTTTTTAACAAATACAGATTATAATTGTGTGCGTTTGGTTTGTACTTAATCACCCTCGTTATTGCTGCATATACCAGTTGACAGTAATCTTTTCATTATGCGCGCGCACATTCCTGTCCGCTTTTGACGCGCTTCCCTAGGAACATGAAGATGTTCTGCGGCGCAGGGTTATTAAATAAGGCTTTGATGGAATATTAAAGCTAGGCACCGAACACGGCACACAACCGCAGCACAGTCCCGTGATCAGCCCGGCTCCCCCGGCGCTCCTCCTTTCAGGGCGGGATATCCTCTTTCAAAACTTCCTACTTTGGACGTTTCTCGACTGGTGCGCAGGATCCCTGCTTTGTAAGGTTTGCGATGACCTTCCTTGGTACCCTGAGACACTGGCCGTGTCGGCGATTATGGGCCCGGGTCCCCAGACCTAACCCAGTGGGTTCGGGAGGAAAAGCGGGCGCCGAGGCGACCCCATGCCGCGGGGCGCACGCTGACTCCTCGCTCTCCGCGGGGGTTGAAGTGGATCTCGGTCGGCTGGAGGGGGCTGACGCCGGTAACGTGTGATTCGCATATACTCACGTTTCCACACAATAAGTAGCGCTTTATAGTCGCTTGGTCGTCAGGTTTTCCATCCTGATGGTTGACGATGGGCGCAAACTCCTAAGAGAGCCTTAGAAATGGCCATGACTGAAAGGTTACAAGCAAGACGCATTCTTTATATTTACGGCAAAATGAGATTTTTCTATGTTGTGCGTATATAAAAAGGCAGAACTGATGCATATCCTCATAACTGCAATATTTCCATATCCCTGTTTGGTTTATTTGGGATTTTTGTAGTTATTTTACTATGTCGTCGAACACAAAAATAAGTATATTGTATTGCTTTTACTGTATTAAACTAAGTACAGTGCGAAAATTAGGCCTAGATACTGATAATTACGTTCCAAAACAGTCACGTCCTATTTACAATGAGTTCGATTAAGGTGTTGCCACATTAAATTAAACGGTATTTCACTCTGCATATATAACTGATATGGGGAGGCGATATTAGAATGTTTGTCGGTATAAAAAACGAAGTACATCGAAAAAAGTTATTAAATGGAGAATATTATTTAGTAACCAGTGGCATGTTATTCTGCAGCCCAAAGCCAAGGGGCGTGTTTCTCTTTCTTATCTAGGAAGTGGTAACTAACATCCTGGGCATGTGGTGATTCCGCAAAACCCAGATTTTGAGACGTCACACCTCTTAATTGTACAAATGAAGAGGTGAAGTGATGCCGGGTCTAACAGGAAGCTTACTCCTTTCGGAAGAGGAATTCTAAAAAATCCTGGTGGTGTTTCGAAACGCGGGAGAAGCTAATTTATAGCGGGAGCTTGACTCCGCCCTTTAGTGTGATGAGTGACCTGTGTGACAGAGGTTCAGCCCTTAAGTCAGGTGCCTTGGTGTATGGTTTCCCCGGGCTGAGGTCACATGGAGATCCTTCTGCCTCTCGTGAATGGGGTCTGATTGTATGTCATACTCACCTCCCGCTGTGTGGAATTTTACTACCTGTGATCCCTCTGCCTGCACCCACGAAGGTGCCAGGGGCTGCAGCGAGGCAAACCTTGAAGCTCACAGGGCTGGGCATGGTGGTCTCTGGCCCCCCCCCCCCATGTAGTGACAGTTTGTGACCAGCAGGGGGCCAAATAATGAGGGGGCCACCACAAATGCGTGTTTAAAGTGGCAGTAAACACTAAACACCATCACCGTCACACAGACAGGTCAAGCTCCCTTCCCTCCCAAACACAACAGACCGTGTTTATACACAGAGACTCTAAATTAGAAACAAGGACTTTAATTCAGCAGCTGGCTTCCCGATGGAACACTAGCTGATTGTAATTCTCTGGCCCCTCCTCTACAGGATGCACCTTATTTTGACCAAAGTAAGGCCTTCAAGGCCTTTGAGCATCTTTAAAGTTGTTATTGTGCATTTATTTTCACATCTGTGTCCCATTTTTCATCAATCACCCCCTTCTTTAAAAACACAAACCCATTTCAGGGATCGTGGAGGTGCTGATGTGCCGGCAGAGGGCACGAAACTCCCTGGGCAAAGTGTTTGTGTCTCAGGTAGGAGCCCGAGGGCCGTCCTCAGGGGCTGCTGGGGTGTGACGCACGGCCTCCGTGGAGGTGATGCCACATCGCCGTGTTTGCAGATGCGGGAGGTGGTGGCCCATCTCCATGGCGACGGCGCGGTCCGTGTGGTGGTGTTCCGCAGCCTGGTGCCTGGAGTCTTCTGCGCAGGTCAGTCAACATCCGTCAAGGTCGGCGGCATCACTCGCAGGGACAGAATCTCACTTAGGGCTGATATTGCATTAGGAAAGGCTGATCTGACAGGGTTCTGTAGGTACGGATCAGAAGGTCACCATTTCAAAACCTAGTGTTGGCAGAGTGATGTTACCATTGGGCCTTTGAGCAAGACACTTAACCCCCAGTTGCTCCAGGGACTGACTGACCCTGCTTAAAATAAAAGTAAAAATAATGGCGTTTGCTAAATAAATAAAACGTCCCTTAGAAACGCTGGTGTGACAGAGTTCTGGAGGCACAAAAGCATTGAGGCCAGAAAGTGTGGTAACCTCCTCTCTCCTTTACCTTTGAAGGTGCTGATCTGAAAGAACGTGCTAAGATGACTAACTCTGAAGCGGAGCACCTTGTCCATGGGTTGCGGTCACTCATGACGGAAATCGGTGAGACGTTTACCCGTGCTTCCTGCATGTGCATTGATAATTCCTGTGCACCGTGTTCACTCCTGTACCTGTGTGCTTGTGTTTGTATTCGACTGTCCTAGCAGTCGGATCTGACCCTCACGTGTGTGATACCTGTTCTTGATCTCGCAGGAAGTTCTGATGATCTGACTTTTGTTTCCGTCGGTTTGTGGTTGCAGCCGTGTTGCCGATGCCCACCGTCGCTGCGGTGGACGGCTTTGCCCTGGGTGGGGGGCTGGAGTTGGCACTGGCCTGTGATCTTCGCACAGCAGGTCAGTGTGGGGGGGGGGGGGGGGGAGGAGCTGACGGGGGTAAAATTTCTCATTTTCCCTCCACACCACATGGCTGTCTTCATCCTCATTGCTGCCTCTTGATATATGTAGGGCATAAATTCCTGGTATGGGAGTGATTCACACACCAAGGAGTTAGCATTCCCACAGAAACATGCTGCTGGTCACATACTCATGTACAGTTAAGGTCAGCTAGTTCTGAACACGGGGCCTGATTGCAAATGGCTAAGCTAGTCAGCATTTGGGCACAGTTCTGTATGGGCCTGTAGGGTGAGCAGGGTTAGCGGTTAGCGTTAGCGGGGCCATCTCACTGCACGACTCCTCCTCACCCTCCTCCTCCTCTTCCTCCAGCTTCCACGGCACAGATGGGCCTGATTGAAGCGACACGAGGATTGCTCCCGGGTGCAGGTGAGCAAATGGGGCCACGGCGGAGAAAATCTGAGCTAAGGTCAGCTCACGGGAGACGCAGGGCAGAACAAGGCCTGAGGGGGGCCTAAGGTCAATTAAATTCTATAAAAAGTCTGTTTTTTTAATTCTATACAAAATATTCTCCCATTGGGGTCTCAGAATTAACTCAGTTGAATGTGATCAAGAAATGAAAAAGATATGTTCTGACTTCAAAACACCAGTTATGTAAGATTAATTATTTTTATTATTTGTAATTAATTTGTAATTCTTCATTATATAATAGTGCAATAAATAATAAGTAACATTATCATGGGGGGGGGGAAGAAGCTGGTCCTGCTTTAGGTAGATCTCAGTTGTGTGTCAGTACGAGTGGTGGGAGATGTAGCATGGAACGTGACTCCAGCCCATCAGGAGATCCTGAGAAGGCTTTGGTACCTTGCTGAACATCCAGGTTTGGGCCAAGCAGAAGCCGTGCGAACTCAGGACCCGTTTCTCGCCCGTTTGACCTCCAGGGGGCAGCCAGCGCCTCCCGCGATTGGTGGGCTTTGCTGTGGCCAAGGAGATGATCTTCACAGGGCAGAGGGTGACGGGCGAGCGGGCCTTGCAGCTCGGCCTGGTCAACAGGGTGGCGGAGCAGAACGAGGCCGGAGACGCGGCCTACAGGGAGGCCCTCCAGCTAGCTCGCCAAATACTGCCTCAGGTGCCAGAACGGGCGCTGGGCAAAATGTCCCACATCAGGGTTAGAGGAGACCGGGGACAATCATTGAATTATACTATTATAAAATGTAGAAAAATGACACAAAATGGGGATTTTTTTTTTCTCTTTTCTTTCAAAGTTGTACTATTTAACTAAGCATCAGCGGGGTTTGGGGGAATCTGTTATGGTAGAAAATTTCTGTACCCCTTTGAGCAACTGACCCCATTCAGCAGTTGTCCCCGGTCTCTCCTATTATTAGATTTATTAATTGGGGGGGGGGGGTGTCACATTTTAATTTCTGCAGATTGGCCCAGTACAGTACAAGGTGCCTGTTATGTAATTAGCATGACTCAGTTAGTGTAGCTGGGATTACAGCACTAACCAATCAGAAGATGGAACAGTATAGTCATGTTTTCAAGAAAGCCACAGGGATGGAAACTTCTGGAACATAAACTGTCTGGAGATGCCTGACACTCCCCTGCCCCCTCCCAGGCTCCCATCGCCCTGCGGATGGTGAAGGAGGCCATTTCCCGGGGTGTTGAGGTTTGCTCCACTGCCGCCCCCCCCCCCCGTTGCTTATCGACTCGTTAACATGTGTCGTCCCCCTTCAGTCACGCGTCTGCTTGTCTTCCCACTAGGTGGATATCGACACGGGAATGGCCATCGAGGGCATGTGCTATGCCAAGGTAAGATGGCCAAACCTGGGCTGTCGGGGGCCCCATGTAAGTGTCTTGTTCTGAGCAACAGCACCTGCTCTTCCTCCATCCCATCCCCCCAGGTCATTCCCACCCGGGACCGTCAGGAAGGGATGGCGGCATTCATTGAGAAGCGACCCCCTCG